AAATTATGAAACAAATATCTTCTATTAAATGGCAAGGTACTACGCTAGATTAGAGTTTCTCCCCCTCTGCACTATTGACATTTGGGGTTGGATAACGCTTTGTTGTGGGGACCGTGCATTTAGGATGTTTAGCAGCGTCCCTAGTCTCTAGCCCTTGGATTCCAGTAGCAGTTCCTCCAGTTTGTCTACCAGAAATGTCTCTGGATGTTGTTCTTCTTGGGCAGTATTCTTGGTCTTCAGTAGCCGTATTTTTGTGTAATAACCAACTCTACCAAAAGCCCAATTGAGAAAGATGGAATATTAGGAAAGATCGTTTTAAGGTATAAGCTTTCTCTCCACATACAGGTATTTAGAATCTCTTCTTAGAACAAACTAAACACCTAAAAAAGTAAATACTCCCATCAAGTTAACTTTTCTGATTCTAAAATGTTAACTGTAGCATATTTGGGGGTACATATATAGATGAATATGAAAAAGGGTCTATAGCCTAATAATCTAAGACGCTTTTTTTTTTTAACATTACATATAGCCTATTTTCCTTAAGATATTTTTAAATTATTTTTAAAAAAACATTTCAGTTGGACTTAGGCGACTCGCATAGTGTTCTTTTTTTCTTATTGGCAGACCATGTTATTTTGGCCTCTAGTAGAATTATGTACACCAAATTGTTTTCCCTTTTGGCTTTACAGCAATACATAGAACTGACTAAAAGAATTTTTCTGGTATATTTTTTTGAAACTCTTGGGGACAGTGTTCATTATGTCATTCACTGTCCCTTATGTAACCCACGTCTGAGATAAGGAAAAACTTGGTTTCCTTTAAGGTGCTTCTATACCCTCTCTTTAGAGAGGACTGTAATAAGCATTAGGCTACTTAGCTCTATGTACTTCATTTCGCTTAATCTTCACAGCAGCCTTGTGACTCAAAATTCAGTGTGTTGCCTCAGGTTTCAGTCTTGGAAATGGTAAAGCTGAGATTCCAACCCTTGATTCGGGTTGCAGAGCCCACAGTCCTTAGTGTCCAACGGTGCTCTGAATTCACCCCAACTTTCCTCATGTGTTTTAAGGAAGCTAAAATTTAGCTTTTGCTCCCACCTCTTAATTGTGTTCCCTTATGGTCCTTATAATTTTTCCCTTTCTTTTCCTTAGTTTTTAAAGCTGTCTTGTTTTTATAAGGAAGTATGGGGTATGCAAATATGTCTGTCTTGCCATTTAACCTAGTCTTTTTCTGTAGCTAAAAATCATTCACAGTAGTAAGTGGGTGGATGAAGTTCTCATTGTCCAGGTATTTGTTTTAGCGCAGTCCATTTTTAAAAAAATTAATTTCATGCTTCAGTGAACATTTGTGAATGTTTCACCATGGTGGTGTACATAGGCTGTCACTGGCATATCGTACCAGATGATTAAAGAGTTATGTGTTTCTGCTTATCAAGTAACATTTACAAATTTAACATATTTGTAATTTTGTTCTCCAGAATGTCACTTTGTAAGTTATATAATTCCTATTACCCCTGAGCGTACTGATATTGCTCGACTTCTGGATATGGACGGCATTATAGTTGAAAAACAGCGACGCCTTGCAACGCTGCTAGGTCTTCAAGCCCCACCAACACGAATTGGACTTATTAACGATATGGTTGGTATAAGTTTGAGCATTCTTATAGATTTGAACAGAAAACTTTATGGTCAGGTTTTATAATTCATGATTAAATACTGGGAATTCTGATTCGTTGCTGGGGATTCTGATGCGTGGACAGGTTTGAGAACTGCTGATGTAACTCTCCACTGTTCAGTTGAGGTGATTAATCTCTAGTTAAATTTGATGTAGCAGATGAGACTTGGACTAGCTCTGAGGAATCGTATGGACCACGCAGAAGAATAATGCTGGGCAAGAAGGTTCATGGCTTATTTTAGGGAGCTGTAGGAAATCTAATCAAGCTGACATGTTGGAAATACAAGAGTGAGTCTAAGAAAGAATGTGAAGTAGATTAGGTCTGATTGTGGACAACTGAAATATTTTCAACTTTTTTCTCTCGTTACTAAAAGTGGTTCTTAATCAGGGCTGTGCACTGAAATTGTGTGTGAGGTACTTTTTGAAGTGCAGATTTCTAGGTTTTCTCTTCTATATAAACTAAATCAATTTCAGAATATGGAGCTTAGGATTTGTGTATCTTTACAGTGTTTTACATTCTTCTCTCACAGCAGAAATTTATCCTGTGAGTGCCTATTATATGCCAGGCAAGTGATACTTAAATGGAATTTGTATCCCAGAGGAGTTTAGATTTTAGGGATTCCGATTGACAGTAGTGTGACTTAGTGGTTATTGTGGTACACCTCTGGCAAATTACTTTGGGACGAGAAAAAAAGAGGGACAAGTGCTTGAGGAATGGCCTTAACTTTCCTGACAGAATTGGTCAATTTAGGTAGGACCTATAATAATTCCCCCTTATCCATGGGGGATACATTTATAAATTAGGCACAATAAGAAGTTGATAATAACTAAAAATCAAATTGAACAGTTATAACAATATTTTGTAATAAAAGTTAAGTGAATGTGCTTTCTCAAAATATTATATTATACTCACCTTTTCACTTAAAGCACTTTTCATCTTCCTTCTTTAGCATATCCGAATTGTCAGTATCTCTACTCTTGCTCTTTGTGGCCATTATTAAGTAAAATAAGGGTTACTTGAACACAACCATTGTGGTGGTGTTGATATGATAACCCAGATGGTGATACCGCTTAGGCGTGCTGGACAGAGGGATGATGAACGTCCTGAGTGGGATGGAACAGGACTGTGTGAGATTTTCTCACACTACTCAGAGTTGCACACAATTTACAATTTACAAACTACTTACTTCAGGAATTTTCCATTTAATATTTATAGACCGCAGGTAACTGCAGAAAGTAAAACTGCAGATAGGGGTGTTACTGTCATAAGTTCTCTATAGCAGCAGTTTTCTCTTACAACGTATTTCTGTTATAGTAGTATGGCAAATTTTCTTTGTAGTCAAATTTTAAAAATAACTTAATCTATAAAACAGTATTTCTGTGTCTTTACTTCCATGTTTCATTGTGCTGACACTGCTCACAGAAATCAGCTTTGTGTTGTGGCAAGTTTTTATGGGACTGATTTAGGATTAAATGTAACAAAACAATAGCATTGTTTTTAGGAAGGGGTTTTATTAGCAAATATGTTTTAAATTTTGTTTTTGTTTTTAATACTGAAAAAGTGTGTCAAATGGATGTATAAGCCATATCTCTTAAACCTGTGTCTGTGAACAGGTTATTAAAAATGGGTCTGTTATGTACTGATTCAGGGAGTTAGTGTTGGAGGGCCTTGAGCCAGCTGTAGGAACATCCAAGTTTGGGTCCTCATCGTGCCCATAGATAAGTGTAGATGTTTATAAAAGAAGGTACTGGTTTGTGTCAGGTGAATAGATGAGCTGACTGCCAAGAGGCATGTATAAAATCTTGGTGAGTTTACTGTACATTTAAGGTTCAGATCTGAGCTTTGGGCTCAAGTTGCTGAATTTGTAAGCACCTAAAAAACGATTCCATTATCTCAGGAACGGACTCAGATTAATTTAGTTCATAAAAGACTGATTGTTAGATCAGAAAGCCAATTATTAATTTTAGTGAGAAATATACTTTATTAGGTTAGGATAGCCTGTCTTAGCACATTCCCTCAGCATATTCTTGGCACTTATGAGGGAAGTATCCAGATGTTGTGGGACATGTGTCATGTACCGTTTTGTGTTGGCATTAGACTAGGGTGCTCC